GCGAACAACGACCGGTTTCCGCCAGTCCGTAAGATCTTGTAAGAAGCTGATGTACCTGACGAAGGGAAAGGAAACTTTTCAATACAGCAAAATCACATTCGTCTCCGTGACAACTATTACAAATGTATGATTACGTGGTGTTAATCGACGGGGGGGATCAAGCAGAGCAGTGAGACCGATTAGACGTTTAAATGCTGGACGAGAGAACTTTGGAACTGACTGATAAAGTCTGTTTCAAACCACATTCCTTTCTTCCTTGAAACAGTTTAAAAACAAATAATTTAGAAGCTCAAATAAAATACTGATATTACAGCATGTTTCCCACAGATTTGTCTGTACCGGCATCTGATAAATATAAGGTTAGTATTAAGCCTGATCAAATGGTTAGAGTTCATGCCTAAAGTCGCCTCAATCATGCTTTACTGTACTCTATACTACAGTGTTCCGTATGATGTAATAGGTGAAACATCGTTAGATTTTACGATCCCTTCTAGAATGTCACCGAAAAAGAGATAACTATGTCTCTGACCACTCGCTAAGAGAAAATATGAGTTTACTGGCTGGCTACTGCGCTCCCGAAGCAGGGATGAGATTCAGACGGACTGCCATTCTTCTCCGTGTCGATACATCCATGGCCAGTTGTGCCAATGCCAACCTCATGTCTTTAAGACCTTAAATGAATTCGTAAATTCCTACGTCCTGGAGGTAAAGGAATTGTAACTTTCAATGGCTGCTCACGACTCTTTAACTATATACCGATATCTCGACTGATCAAACGGGACGCTGTGACGCAGTAGCAAGAGGTCGGTTTCGAACTCTGAGAAAATCGTATACTCATCTGGCAAAGGAACATTTTCCCTACCCACTGAACAACATGGTCAGCATGGTGTTCTGGTGTAGTTGCAGCAGAATGCACGAAAGGTGCTGTCCGACGCGAGCGCCTTTCATGACTTCAATTTGCTTTCACTCATCTCATAGCTGAGTTGACTAATCAGCACAAGGCGTGAGCCCTGTTGTTGAAATGTCAATCTTAAAAACTGTCTCATTAGTCGACGAATGACATGTGGCCTGTCGAAATAAAGTCATCCGCATATAAATGCGTGGAACAATCAGCCGTGAAAATTACCATTTTCCTTGTGAGGTTGAAAGCGTCTTTTCATTGCGTTCAACTTACGTCAGTAAATACTATTTAATTCGTTGAACTCGGTCAGTCAAGCGCCTTCAGTCACGCAGGAGGCTACCCAGTGGTGAAAACAAACGATAGCAATCGCCGTTCTTACCATTCCTTTGCGTTGAAGGTCGTTCAGCTGGTACGCCAGGCGGTCGATGTCATCGCACAGCTGTCGAACGGCGTTCTTCTCCGGCCCAGAGCACAGGTCGGATACCCGGCGTCCCTCCTCAGTGATCAACTTCACTGCGTTGAAGCCTATAGAACGATCTGCGGTTCGTCGTTATGCCAGCACCTCGTCACTTACCTAATCCCTTGTCGTCCACCGTCGGGCTCTCGAGCCACTTCATCGCCTGCTCCACTCTGCCGATCAACGTGTGAGCCGGCTGCAGCACGCCAGACCGTT